AAATATGAGTACATTCAATTTCAGCCACCTGACATTTGAAAAAGGAGCCAATGCACTTGGGGAAAGACACCATATTCAGCAAATGGTGCTGGCAAAACTGGATCTCCACCTGTAGAAGAATGAAACTAAACCCCTATCTTTCACCTTGTACAAAAGTCAACTCCAAATGTATCAAAGACCTCAATGTGAAGCCTGAAACTCTGAAACTGTTAGAAGAAAACATTGGCAGTAACCTACAAGATATGGGTGTAGGAAAGGATTTTCTAAACTTGACATCACCTGTCCAGGAAACAAGGTCAAGAATCAACAAATAGGACCTCATTAAACTAAAATGCTTCTGTACCTCAAAAGAAGCAACCAAGGAAATGAGGAGAAAACCCACAGAATGAGAGAAAATCTTCACCAGTGACACATCTGACAGTTTTAACATCCCGAGTATATAAGGGACTCAAAAAACAAAGTATCAGAAAGGAAGCAACCCAATGAAAAGATAGGCTAAGGAACTGAACAGAGAGGTCTCAAAAGAAGAAATAGAGATGGCTAAGAAACATCTTAAAAGATGTTCAACATCACTAGTAATTAGGGAAATGCAAATTAAAACCACTTTAAGATTTCATCTTATCCCAGTCAGACTGGCTAAGATCAAGAGAACAAATGATACCAAATGTGGGGGAGGATGTGGGGTAAGGGGAACGCTCATCCACTGCTGGTGGGGCTGCGAACTTGTTCAACCCCTATGGAAAGCAGTATGGAGAACTCTTAAAAAAGTACAAATGAACCTACCATTCGACCCAGTTATACCACTCCTTGGCATATACCCAAAGAACTCATCCTGTTGCAGTGACACTTGTACATCCATGTTTGTTGCTGCTCTTTTCAGAATAGCTTAGAGATGGAAGCAACCTAAGTGTCCATCAACTGATGACTGGTAATGAACATGTGGTTCATTTATACAATGGAGTTTTACTCAGGAGTAAAGAAAAATGAAATCATGAAATTTGCAGGTCAATGGATAGAGCTAGAACCTGTTATACTAAGTGAAGTACAGACTCAGAAAAAAAAAAACAAACCACATATTTTCCCTCATATGTGGGTCCTAGCAACAAATCCTTATAATATGTATCCAGACATAACTACATGAACCAGGATAATGAAGAGGAACCAGGGAATTAAAGGAAAAGAAAGAGTCTGAAAGAGAAGAACAGTAGAAAACAGGTGTTAACAAGGGAGATATAGACAATAAATGGGGTTATTTTAAGGGGAGTAGGGAGGGAAGATCATACAAGGAACCTAGGGGATAAAGGGAAAGGAAGTCAAGAGAGGTGGGACCATAGGAGAAGGGTATTTATTATTAAGGGAGAAATGGAAAAAAATGGGGGCACCTTAATTGGGGAAACCATGGTGGAAAGGTTAGACAATGTGAGAGATATATAATGACTAGCTAGTTTTAGAAAACAAGAGGGAACCATATTAGGCCAACAACCTCCTGACAAAGTATACATACAACCAGATCAAAGAATGTAATATATGCCCAGGGAAGGTTTTTCTGAGAGTGTTTGGTCTTTGCCCAAGCTCTATCTACATGGTATATATAGTAATTTAAAGTACCAGACTGGAACTAACCTTCTTGGATGTTTAACAGCCCTACTTTGAGCCCTATACTAATTTGGTCAGGGGGGACATAAAGGATAGTTTTTGCTCCTTGCCCTCCTAGGTTGACTAAATTCCAGGGGACTGTGAGCATCTTTCACAATGTCCTGTAACTGTAGTAAGTCTCCTGTCCTCTTGAGCAAGGCCATGGAGACTCCACCAGATGGACCTGAACCAGTGTCCAGTCTACAAAGAGGAGTGTCAACACAGAGGAAACATTTCCTCCATGCTTCCAAGCGAAGCCTGTCATGGTCGAACAGTACCTTTGACTTATCTTCACTTAGATGTAACTGGTAAAAGAATGGAGCCAGGGCCTCCTCCCAAGCCCATGTCACCTCTGAGGAAGAGATTCTCAAACAACCTTAAGAGTAAAAATAAATTGCTTTATCTGGGCCAACTGTAGGATCTTAAACACCCTAAAAGAAAGTAAAACCAAAGATTAATGAGGTCAGTATAAGTTTTTAAGAGTCCATATGTATAGCTAAAGGCTATATTAGACGAAACAATGCCAGACAGGAGAGACCTTCCTTGGAGTTATTGGCCAAGGTGGCACAAGAGACTCCCAGACAGTAACCCAGCATAGAACCAGGAAAATGAACAGCAGACCCCTATCTTATCTAAAGGAATATTGACAACGGATTGCTGCTATATGAGGAACAGCTGATCTTCCTAAAACAAAGATCTTTAGATAGGCTGACTAGATTCAGCAGACAGACAAGCACTGGAGAATGGCTGGGGGTGTCGACAACACAGTAGATAGTAACAGGGATGATGGAGTATATGGGTTCCAGTATGTGCGAGGGGGTAGCTGTGGGAGGGTGCCAAGTGGGTATGTAGTTGAATAAGTTTTTGTGGGATGTTCTGTATGATATACACACAGAAAAATCAACAAATTAAAAAAGACATATTTGAGGTGGAAGCATAAAAATTTACTTCATGTTAAGTAGTAGAGGTGACAAACATTACCAGTGAAATCTACCGGATGACTTTATATTCATACTCAGGTACTAAGGATCTGAGTGTAAATCACTTTGACTAGTACAATCAGATACATAGAGATTAAAGACACATGTGCAAACATCTAAGTGTTAGTAACATTAAAAATGAGTCTTTCTGTTTGAAACAGCATATTTTAAAATGAAATGAGATCTTTTTTAAAGGTTAAAAACTCATTCAATTTTATGTCTTATAGGGTTTGGGAATGGCTGGGGGTGCTGACAACACAGTAAACAGTAGCAGGGATATCAGAGTATAAGGGCTCTAGCTGGGGGAGGGAGGCTATGGGAGGGTGCTACTTGGGAAGTGGGTGTATAAAAAAAATTCTTCAAAGCATAAAAATTTGCTCCTTAATAATTGGTAGATGTGAAAAACATTACCATTGAAATCTACCTGATGACTTTATTTCCATGCTCAGATGCCAAGGAGCTCAGAAAGTAACCAACTATTACTGGTAATAATCAGATATGTAGAGATTAGAAAGGCATGTGCAAACATCTTAATGTCAATTTGCATTAAAAATGAATTTTTCTGTATGAAACTGCATTTTAATAATGAAATGAAGATCTTTTTTCAAGGTTAAAACCTCATTCAATTTTATATCTTACAGGGTTTATACTGAGTACAATATTGTATAACTGTATTAATTCATCTGTAAACCTAAAAATTTACAGCCAGTTTTCAAAGAGAAGCATCTTATCTCTGGAAATTGTAATTGAATATGTCAATGCTGTTGTAATGAAATACTTCTAATTATGTGGTTATTAAATAAATAATTTAAAAATAACTTCTAGAATAAAATTTGTTACTTTGAAGTAGGCAGAGATTTCTCAGCATATTGAATGCATGAACCAGAGAAGGAAAATTTGATAAATTATTTGACTTCATGAAATATGTAAAACTTTTCCTCATTAAAAGACATTATTAACTAAAATTATCACAAAGTAGGACACACACACACGGAGAGAGAGAGAGAGAGAGAGAGAGAGAGAGAGAGAGAGAGAGTTTGTGTGTTAGGAAAAAAGCAACCTATTTGTAAAATGGGCAAAAGTATTGACTAGATGCTCACTGGAAGCCCACACCAACGACCAAAGCACTCAAGATTGCTCAGTACATCAGTCATGCAAATCGGATCCACAGATTCAAGTTGAGGTAAAATGGAAAAGGATGAAAGTCAACAGCAAGTGTTGGGAATGATGTAGACCCAGCCAACTTTCATGTAGTATTGTTAGGAGTATAAAACAGTGTCACTGTTTTAGAAACTATCAGCTTCCTAAAATGATAGCAGTTTTCAGTTTTATTCTCAGCTATTGGTCCAAAAGAAATGATAACTATGCCCACAAAAACTCTGTTCCAGAATGTTAGAATAACAGTTGTATTCAGAATGAGTGGATGGAGGAAGGTTCCCCTGTCTGTCAACAGTAGAATGAATAACAAACTGTGACATATGGGTCTTCATGAATAGGAACATATTTCCAGAGTTGATGTAGATGGGTAGGTTAGGGAATATTTAATATTTATGCCATTGTGTATGAGCAGTTCTATTCTTTTAACAGTCACAAAGATGCTATTTTCCTAAATGCTTTACTAAGTTTGTGCTTTTGGGCCTGCTGTGCAATATGAGAAACTGTTTTTAGGACTTTCCCTGAACTCAAGAGCAGTTTTTATAGATGGAAGAACTAATCCTTATAGGTGTCAGCTAGAATGGGCCCTTCAGGTCCTCACACTCCAAATTTCTACTTCTGGTCACCATTCTCCTGAGCAGTGGTTTTCAGTCAGGGGCCATTGTGTCTCACCAAATACATTTGACAATATCTGAAGATGTTGTGATTGTCATGGTTAGAGAGAGAGATGTTGTGCTACTGGTATCTAGTAGGTAGAGACCTTGGAGATTACGAACAATCCTGCGGCAGAAAGAACTACCCTCACCCACAAAGAATCATTTGGTCCAAAAAGTTATGGTGCCAAGATTGAGAAACCTTTTTCTGGGCCTGTCCTTATCACTGAAGCTGAGTCAGTCACAGTCAGGTGTTGACTGTGCTTATAGCTCTAATCAGTTGTGCAAACTTGTCATGTTCCCTGCCTGAAGTTAATACTAAATATTTGTAGGCATATATAATCTTGAATATGGAGATAATTCCATGCATGAAGAGTACTTCTCAAATCATTACTATATGCATCATTTTTATTGACTGTTAAATGTAAGGCTCTGTGGATTTTCTATATAACTTTATGTCATTAAATATCCAAACAATCGATCTTCACTGTTTTCCTTTAAAGGGGGAGGTGAAGTTTTGCTATCAGATTAAAAGAGATCACTGATAATGTCTTATCCTCTATTTCTCCCTCTGCAGAATGTCAGGAAGAGAGTTTTTCTCTCGTTTCCCAGATCTGTATCCCTTTCTTCTCAAACATTTGGAAGCTGTAGCCAATACAGTGGACAGGTAAGGAGAGAATAAGCTGGGCAAAGTAGTCACGCTGAAGTATTTTATTAAGATTTTAGGTTGGACAGAGTGAGTGGCTCATGCTGAAATTCTAGCACTTGAAAGACAGATAAGAAGATTGCCACTAGTTGAAGGCCAGCCTGGCTACCTAGCTAGACCCTGTCTCAAGAAACCAAGCAATGGGGCTGAAAAAATGACTCAGCGGGTTAAGGCACTTGCCAATAAGCCTGACAACCTGAGTTCGATCCCAGAGACCTATATGATGGAAGGAGAGCACCAACTCACACAGATTGTCCTCTGACCTCTATAAGCGTACCATGCCACTCATACCCACCATCCCACCCTCCTCACCATCTCCCCCACACTAAGTAAATAAATGTAATAAACACCACATAAGGTGGCGGGGGGCTCACAATTATCCACCCCCCCCCCAAGGACCTATAGACATTTGCTAGGAGAGGAGAGACATTTTCTTCAGTGTTGTAGCCACTTGTAAGATACCCATCTTCTTGTAAATGAACTTTCATGAAAGCTCCTCTAAGCAACTTTGATGAAACTGATTGGGCCACACACAGTAAACAAAACAAAACATAGAAGAAGAATCGAGTCTACTTGGGAACAGGCCTGCCTTTTGCCTCCCGAGTGCTGAGATTAAAGGCGTGCGCCACCATGCTCGGCATTCATATTATATTTTAAAATATAATTTTGTCAAAATTAATCCTGGTTTTAATGTCATGTAAGAACTGACTTCTTAGAGGTAGGTGATGATTTCTTCTTTTAAGAATTCTTTTCAGGGGCTGGAGAGATGGTTCTGTGGTTAAGAACACTGGTTGTTCTTGCAGAAGACCCAGGTTTGAATCCTAGCACCCATATGGCAGCTAACAACTGTCTGTAAGTGTAGTTCCAGGGGATCCAACAGCCTCTTTTGACCTCCACGGGCATTGCAGGACACAGATGCACTTACCTACATGCAGGCAGTATACACATATGCATAGAATAAAAATAATAAATAAAATTTTTTTAATGTTGCTGAATTATTATTGTAATTTTTTTTGTCTTTTTTGAGACAGGGTCTCCCTGTAGCCCCAGCTGTCCTGGAACTCACTATGTAGACCAGGCTGGCCCTTGAACTCCGCCTCCCGAGTGCTGGGATTAAAGACGTGCGCCACCACGCCCGGCAATAAAAATTTTTTAAAAAATTATTTCCAGGGGGCTGGAGAGATGGCTGGCTTAACAGTTAAGAGCCCTTGCTGTTCTTTCAGAAGACTGAAGCTTGGCTCCTAGCACCCATGAAGAGCATCTCACAACTGTAACTCTAGTCCCAGGGGATCTGATGCCCTTTTCTCACCTCCACAGGCATACACACAAATAAACATTTTTTTAATTAAAAAAATTACTTCAGGGGCTGGGGAGATAGTATGGTTGATAAAGTATTTGTCATGTAAACCTGAAAATGTAAGTTCAATCCCCAGCACCCATGTAAAACGCCAAGTATAGATTCATGTACACTTGCAATTCCAGCCTTTGGGTTGGGGAGGCAGAAGGTTCCTTGAGACTTGCTGGCTAGCCAGTCTAGTGTAATAGGGGACTTCCAGGTCCCAGTGAGAGATCTTGTCTCAAAAGATAGGGTCGGGCCGGCCAGATGATTCAGTGTGTGAAGTACTTGCCATGTAAGGCTGATGGCCTAAGTTAGACCACTGGAGCCCACATAAAGGTGGTAGGAACCAGATGTGATAGCACACCTTTAATCCCAGCACTCAAGAGGCAGAGGCCAGTGGATCTCTGTGAGTTTCAGGTCAGTCAAGACTGCATAGTGGAAAGGGAAAGCTAACTCCATGAAATTGTCCTCTGACCTTCATGTATATGCTTTGGTGTGTGTACCCCCATCATATATACAATAATAATAAATAATTTAAAAAAATTTTTAAGCTACAGTGCCCCCACCCCATGAGCTGGAGCTGTAATCCCCTCCTGTGAGCTGGAGCTGTGGTCCCCTCCTGTGAGCCAGAATTGTTGTTCCTTCCTAAGAACCTAGAGCTGTGGTCCCCTCCTGTGAGCCAGAGTTATGGTCCCTTCCTATAAGCTGGAGCTGTGGTCCCCTCCTGTGAACCTGAAGCTGGGATCCCCTCCTATGAGTGGAGCTTTGGTCCTTAATTGTGAGCCATGGTTCCACATTTCTCGGTGGGCTGATGGTAGAGCAAATGGGAGGATAGAGGACTTCCTAATGTTGGACAGCAGTTTCAGCCTTCTCTGAGTGACTGCATACCCTACAGCGCCCTCTCCCAAGGTCCCAGGTTGTGCATGGCAGTGGCTTTTCCTCTGTGTTGAACTTACATGGGACAGGGGAAGTTTTTGTCATTTGAAGTTTCTGGTCTTGGGAGGACTAATTCTCTAGAACGGACTCCCCACCTCGCTTGACGGCCACCTACAGTGTTGACTCCACACGTAGTCCTGGGCACCCAGGCCTTGATGTTGGACCTTTCCCAGTCCCAGGCACCAAGAGGGTTTCCATAATTTTTCTATTACTCTTCTACAGCCCCATTGTACCTACCTGATAAAATCAGTTTGGGAAGGTAAAAATAAAAAATAAGGTCAATGGTTCCTGAGGAACGATACCCAAGAATTATTTTCTTCCTATTATTTTTCAAAATCTCCGTTTACATATTGAGTTTTCTTAAAGGATACCAGTATTTTATTGCTGGCCTGTTGCAGCCATTGTGAAATTATAGAAGATGGCTAACTAATAGGTCTACCTGAGCAAAAATGATCAGTGTCTTTGGAAATACAAAGTAGAGCCATTAAGAGGACTCCCAGCCTCAGCAGGCCACATAGAAGAAGCATTCTCAATGCCTTTCAATCTTATTCTGTAGCTGGAAAGAGAATTTTTAGTATGGGCATCTTAGAATATCCTTTTTGTATTTTTCACCAGTATGTGTACTTGATGTGTATGACTAGTCTATAATTAGGAAGTAAATTATGTCAGTGAAATTTACTTTTGTTCATGATACATTTCCTCACATGTGCCAACAGGCTTTTCTGGCCCTGGTAACAGCCTATTCATGCTTTCTTAAATGCATTCAGACATAGAAAGCCTCACATTTTATTCTCCGGAGCAGTGTACTCAAGTGAATGATTTGCTTTTAGAAGAGGATCATGTGCACAGGCCCAATCCTTCACTTTGCCCGCAACTTCTCCTCCTGATGCATATTAGGAAGACAGGAAGGTAATGGAGGAAAAGGTGACCAAAGGAAAATTGTCCCTTTCATCATGCAGAATCTTGATTCATATACATAATTAATGGCAAAATGTATTTGAAAATAATGCCTTATGTCTTTAATCTGAAATCTTTTACATACCATAACTTTTTTTCAGGGAGGTGGGAGAGCTGGATCGTCACCCCAGCATGTTCCTCCTACTCTTGGTATTGGAGAGACTCCACCCGTCCCCAATGGATGGCTCATCTTCTGCACTCAGCATGGCGCCTTTTGTTCCTTTCATTATCAGGTAGTGTCATGCTATAAGGGAAATAGTGGGGGTTGGTTGGCATAGGGACTTTAGAGGCAAACTTCATGTTCTTATTTTGGAAATTATAATCAATATTTTGGCTTTGGGAGGCATTGTGTAATGGCAGGAGCATGAGGCATTGCTCTAAACTGGTTTCTTGTGCTACAAGACAGATGCTTATATCATGGATGTGGAGCTCATTAGAATCCACTTTGTCAGTAGTATTTTCCTTAGGGGCCTGCTAATGAGTGTGTGGTGTTGATAGAAGATAACCCTTTTGAAAAACATGGCCTGATTGCATTATACCTGTGTTGGGCCCACCGCCACAGGTGTGATGGGGCAGCCTTGATCCTGGCATGTATTCCCTGTTCTGTGGCTTAAGAGGACATTTGGCTGTTCACTCTGGAGGAGTCAAATCCTTCAGTGGGTGGCATGCCTATGGCAGTACCACATAGCCCATAGTCTTGCTTATCTTCTCCTTCAAGCCTAGAGTGCCTGAAACATGTGACACATCAGCAATAGGCATTCCTGCTTGAGGAGCCTGGCTCTACAAGCTGTTACACGTTTTGAGGTGTCTGTCACCTTCTGATTGCCTTTTTTATTTTGGATTATGTAGGCCTCCAAAAGAATTCACATTTTCTTAAGAAACAGTTTAGAAGCCTGTCCTATTATTGATAGCACTTACCTTTCTTTTTATCTCTTGACAAGGCAGTGCCTTTAATATATCTAATGAAGCTAGAAATGGACTTAGAGTGGAATGAAACTCCAGAAAGCTGTTTATTATTATGTGGTGCTCTGGGTCCCACATCCTGATTTCTTGAAGCCGACTTAACGCATTTCCATGTGAGAAACCATTAAACCCAAGATTCTGACATGTGATTGCTGTAACTGCTTGTTTGCCACCAAGCTCTGGCTATGTTATCTGTGATCAGAGATGACTCACTCAGGTTGGTTTGTTTCCTGATACACAGAGTTACCAGTCAGCCTCATCCAGCATTCGGTGATTCATTTTAGGAATTTACGTGGTAAATTTTACTTTCAAGGGCCTTCAAAGTGTTCTTTTAAAGGGAAAAAACTCTGAAATGTTTTCACAAAGTTGATACAAGGGGGGAAGGCACAAATAGACAGTTACAGGGTACATTAGAAACCAAGATATGCTGTGAAACCTGGTGGTCTGTGTGGAGAACTTTCAATTTGCAGAAGCTTTTTACTAATCAGTCTGTTATCTGTTGCATTCTGGAAGCCAGAAGTTGGTACATTGTTTTTGTTTCATTTTATTTTGTTTGAGACAGGGTCTCCTTCAAGCCCCAGCTGGTCTGGAACTCATTATGTAGACCAGGCTGGCCTCAGTCCCACAGAGATCTGCCTGCACCTACTGGGATTAAAGGCATGTACCACCACACCCTATAGAAGTTGCTACACTGAAAATATCATTCCAAATGCCTTTGTTTACATATAATCAGTATGCACATTAATTATCATATTCAAAGATACTACAAAAATTACTTTATATAGAAGATTTAAATATTACTCTGAAGCCACACACATTGTTTGGGTTGGTTTATTTGGTTTAGTTTATACTGTTTTGTTTTATAGTGTTGGGGATGAAACCTAGGGCCTTTCATGTTTGGCAAGCATTCTACTACTGAGCTATATCCTCAACCCAATACATTGTTTTTAAGTTCAAAGGCACAAAGCTGGTACTAGAGAGTTGACTCAAGGGTTAAAAGCACTGGCTGCTCTTTCAGAGGACCTGGGCTCAGTTCTCAACATCCACATGATACCTAACAGCCATCTGTAACTCTAGTTACAGGGGATCCAGTGCTCTCTTGGGGCCTCTGAAGGCACTACACACATGTGGTATACCTATTTATATACATGCAGAAAACACACATAAAATAAAAATAAAGTATAACAGCAAAAAAAGGGTACAAAACAAGAAATTAGCCAAGTATTCTGTCCTGCCAGTGAAAATGCCATGGTCCATAGTTGCTTTCTGCCTGAATATAGAGTTACAGAGTACTATTAGCAGCAGAACTAATTCCTTAGAGAGCCAGTCATCTCTCATTCATCCAGGGTCCGTGTATGTCATGTCAATAAAACAGTGTTTCAGGTTATAGAGATGATTCAGTGGTTAAGAGCACTTAACGCTCTTACAGAGAACCCAGGTTTGGTTCCCAGCACCCACATGGCAGCTAACAACTGTCTATAACTCCAGTTCTGGGGGATCTAATGCCCTTTTCTGGCCTCTACAGGCATCATATTTATGTGGCACACTTACATATGGGCAGGTAAAGCACTTATACACATAAAAAATAAAATTAAATAAAAAGAGCAGTGTTTCTCAACATTATGATATAAGCATAACACTTGGGAATTATGTTAATTCTGCTTCAGAAGAGTCATGGTTGTGTCTGTAAGCCTACTTCTTAAAAGAACTCCAAACTCCAGATACTGTGATGGCCTGTGGCCCACACTTGGATTAGCAAGATTAAATTTGAAATATTAAATTTAAATACCATCAGAGCCACACACATAGAGGCCACTGATAAACTAGACAGTAGCAGGGTCATGCTGAGGTTAGGATATTTAAGAAGCTTATAAGAAGTAAATTTCAAGGGTTGTGGAGATGGCTCAGTCAGTAAAGTGCTTACTGCATAAGCCTGAGAACCTGAATTTGAATCCTCAGCACCCACATAAAAAGAAAGCCAAGTGCAGTACACACCTATAATCTCGGTGCTGAGTAGGCAGAGACAGATGGATCCCTGGAGCTCATTGGCTAGCCAACTTAGCCAAATTGGTAAACTCCAGGTTTAGTGAGAGACCTTGCCTCAGAACAAAAAAGATGGGACTGGAGAGATGATTCATTCAGTTAAGAGCACTGGCTGCTCTTGCAGAGAACCTGGTTTTGGCTCCCAGCACCCACATGGTTTTCACAACCGTCTGTAACTCCAGTTCCAGGGTATCTGACACCCTAATAAGGTATAAAGTGATTGAGGAAGACGCCCAACATTGACCTCTGGCCTCTACACGCACACACACACACACACACACAAACACACACACACAAACAGATACAGATTTTGACCTACGAGTACAGAGAATGAGTAAAATACTATTTTGCACAGAAGTCAGTAGAAAATAGACCAGCCTTTGTTGAGCCCTAACTTTTTTTTTTTAACTAGGTAGTAACATTTTGCTTACCATGACTCTGAGATAATATGCTGCCATCCCTATTTCTCTTGGGAAACTGAGGTTCATAGAATCTCCAGTTACAGTCTCAGTCTCTCTCTCTCTCTCTCTCTCTCTCTCTCTCTCTCTCTCTCTCTCTCTCTCTCTCTCTCTCACTCTCACTCAGTAGATTTATATTTCTGGTCCTTTGTTCCATACTTAAGAACCTGCCCAAGCTTTTTTCTTTGTTACTTTGTCAACTTGAACCTTAGAAGTTACTGATTGAAGTTTTCCAAGTTCTGTGTGGGCACACAAGATTGTTGCATCATCTTAGAACAGAAATGTTCATGTTAATCTCAGTATGTTGTTACAGTTTTTAAAAAGATCTTGTTTATTTTTTTGTGCTTGATCCAAACACACAGCCCTTTCCTACATTAATATGGTACCTTCAATTTAAGACCATTCATCTTCCATTGAAATATCACAGAGCTGAATAATTCATGTTTTAAAAGTAGTGCCAACTGGCTCTCTGAATGTATCTCACAATGCACACTTGTCTGGGGTTTTCTAGAGGCTAAAGGTCTTTCCCAAGACTAAATCAGCTCTTCTAATTTTAGAGCTTTGTGCATGCTAGGCAAATACTCTACCAACTAAAGTAAGGTACCATGTAAGGTACATGCCCAGCTCCTGTGCATCACATTTCTACTTGCTCTGTCTTCCCACAGTCCTTTGAGATAAGTAGACGGCAACATTTTCTTTATAGAAAGATGGAGACAAGCAGAGCAGTTTAAGTACTACCAAGGTAGAAGTCTTGCCCTGTTCCCTTTCCACCTCCAGGTCCCGATTGCTCCGCTCTTCCAAAGTCTGCAGCACTTATCATTGGACTTCTTTTCTTGTCACTCATCATTATTGTGTTATACTACTAATGCTCAGCACTTGTTCTCGCCACATAAATCTTAACCTCCTCCATGTAGAACAGCTGTAGGTTTTGTTGTTTTGTGGTACTTTTCTTAGTCGAAGTTTGGGCACTGAGCTAAATTGAGTAATATAAACATGAAACTAGTTTGGAATTGAGACTTTTTGGGTGTGAATAGGTATTATCTCTGAAGTACTCAAGGACTTCCAGTCCTATAATATTGGAGCCGCATGTTGTATACCGTTGGTCACAGGCTATGTAGAAAGAAGGCCCAGCTGGGTTTCATATTTTATCTGGCCTGTGAGAAGTTGCCTGTTCCAGTATGAGCTCTGGCATTTGATTATATTGTCATTCACCTCTGTGACTTTCTGTTTCCTTTTCAAACAAATTTTAATCAAATTAAGGTCTTGGTCCTTAATTTGGTCCCCTCTGACCTCATGAGCCTGTGACCCAAGAGCTTCCTCTACTATGAACTCCTTTCTGACTGCCCTCTAGAGAGGCCCTGTGAAGGTCCACCTTGCAGTACCCTCTGCAGGTTTGGGGCCCTAGGAAAGGGGCCTGAATCATTAACGATAGAAGAAGGGGCAAGATACTGTTTTTCTTTTGAAAATCATGTAATCATAACAAAGCAAAAATGCATACCTCCCAGATTAATATAGCCTGAGTACAGAAGCCATGTAGGAGAGCCTCGGTGTACTTGGGGCTAGGTCTGTATAATGGAGATAAATGTCCTGCTTAGAAAATAGCACTCCTAGGTTTGTGTGTTAAAAAACCCAGAGAGAGAGGGACTGTAGTGATAGCTCAGTGGTTAAGAACTCTGGCTGCTGGTTAAGAGCCCTCTGCTCTTATAGAGGACCCAGGTTCAAATCCCAGCACCTACATGGCAGTGAATTACTGCCCATACCCTCCAGTT